CCTTCCGCGTTTTGAGGGTGGAAGCGCTCGTTCCGAGCGTTTTTCTTCCGTCGCGTCACGTGGCTGCGCTTGTCTGGTCCTATTACCAAGCCAGCAAGGGCGTGGGAGGGTTGCGAGCATCATCGGTCATCGGCGCTCGCGAATGAAGAGCGCCCGCTGCACTTCCTGCACATGTGCGGATCCTTCCGCGTTTTGAGAATGGAAGCGCTCGTTCCGAGCGTTTTTCTTCCGCCGGGTCACGTGGCTGCGCTTGTCTGGGCCTATTACCAAGCCAGCAAGGGCGTGGGAGGGTTGCGAGCATCATCGGTCATCGGCGCTCGCGAATGAAGAGCGCCCGTTGCACTTCCTGCACATGTGCGGTTACTTCTGCGTTTTGAGGGTGGAAGCGCTCGTTCCGAGCGTTTTTCTTCGACCAGGTCACGTGGCTGCGCTTGTCTGGGCCTATTACCAAGCCAGCAAGGGCGTGGGAGGGTTGCGAGCATCATCGGTCATTGGGGCTCGCGAATGAAGAGCGCCCGCTGCACTTCCTGCACATGTGCGGATCCTTCCGCGTTTTGAGGGTGGAAGCGCTCGTTGCGAGCGTTTTTTTTCCGTCGGGTCACGTGGCTGCGCTTGTCTGGTCCTATTACCAAGCCAGCAAGGGCGTGGGAGGGTTGCGAGCATCATCGGTCATCGGCGCTCGCGAATGAAGAGCACCCGCTGCACTTCCTGCACATGTGCGGATCCTTCCGCGTTTTGAGAATGGAAGCGCTCGTTCCGAGCGTTTTTCTTCCGCCGGGTCACGTGGCTGCGCTTGTCTGGGCCTATTACCAAGCCACCAAGGGCGTGGGAGGGTTGCGAGCATCATCGGTCATCGGCGCTCGCGAATGAAGAGCGCCCGCTGCACTTCCTGCACATGTGCGGTTCCTTCCGCGTTTTGAGGGTGGAAGCGCTCGTTCCGAGCGTTTTTCTTCGACCGGGCCACGTGGCTGCGCTTGTCTGGGCCTATTACCAAGCCAGCAAGGGCGTGGGAGGGTTGCGAGCATCATCGGTCATCGGTGCTCGCGAATGAAGAGCGCCCGCTGCACTTCCTGCACAAGTGCGGATCCTTCCGCGTTTTGAGGGTGGAAGCGCTCGTTGCGAGCGTTTTTCTTCCGCCGAGTCACGTGGCTGCGCTTGTCTGGTCCTATTACCAAGCCAGCAAGGGCGTGGGAGGGTTGCGAGCATCATCGGTCATCGGCGCTCGCGAATGAAGACCGCCCGCTGCACTTCCTGCACATGTGCGGATCCTTCCGCGTTTTGGGGGTGGAAGCGCTCGTTGCGAGCGTTTTTCTTCCGCCGGGTCACGTGGCTGCGCTTGTCTGGTCCTATTACCAAGCCAGCAAGGGCGTGGGAGGTTTGCGAGCATCATTGGTCATCGACGCTCGCGAATGAAGAGCGCCCGCTGCACTTCCTGCACATGTGCGGATCCTTCCGCGTTTTGGGGCTAGAAGCGCTCGTTCCGAGCGGTTTTCTTCCGCCGGGTCACGTGGCTGCACTTGTCGAGGCCTGTTACCAAGCCAGCAAGGGCGTGGGAGGGTTGCGAGCATCATCGGTCATCGGCGCTCGCGAATGAAGAGCGCCCGCTGCACTTCCTGCACATGTGCGGATCCTTCCGCGTTTTGAGGGTGGAAGCGCTCGTTGCGAGCGTTTTTTTTCCGTCGGGTCACGTGGCTGCGCTTGTCTGGGCCTTTTACCAAGCCAGCAAGGGCGTGGGAGGGTTGCGAGCATCATCGGCATTAGAGCTCGCGAATGAAGAGCGCCCGCTGCACTTCCTGCACATGTACGGATCCTTCCGCGTTTTGGGGGTGGAAGCGCTCGTTCCGAGCGTTTTTCTTCTGCCAGGTCACGTGGCTGCGCTTGTCCGGGCCTATTACCAAGCCAGCAAGGGCGTGGGAGGGTTGCGAGCATCATCGGTCATCGGCGCTCGCGAATGAAGAGCGCCCACTCCACTTCCTGCAAATGTGCGGTTCCTTCCGCGTTTTGGGGGTGGAAGCGCTCGTTCCGAGCGTTTTTCTTCCGCCGGGTCACGTGGATGCGCTTGTCTGGGCCGATTACCAAGCCAGCAAGGGCGTGGGAGGGTTGCGAGCATCATCGCTCATCGACGCTTGCGAATGAAGAGCGACCGCTGCACTTCCTGCACATGTGCGGATCCTTCCGCGTTTTGAGAATGGAAGCGCTCGTTCCGAGCGTTTTTCTTCCGCCGGGTCACGTGGCTGCGCTTGTCTGGGCCTATTACCAAGCCAGCAAGGGCGTGGGAGGGTTGCGAGCATCATCGGTCATCGGCGCTCGCGAATGAAGAGCGCCCGCTGCACTTCCTGCACATGTGCGGTTCCTTCCGCGTTCTGGGGGTGGAAGCGCTCGTTCCGAGCGTTTTTCTTCCGACGATTCACGTGGCTGCGCTTGTCTGGGCCTATTACCAAGCCAGCAAGGGCGTGGGAGGGTTGCGAGCATCATCGGTCATCGGCGCTCGCGAATGAAGAGCGCCCGCTGCACTTCCCGCACATGTGCGGATCCTTCCGCGTTTTGGGGCTGGAAGCGCTCGTTCCGAGCGTTTTTCTTCCGCCGGGTCACGTGGCTGTGCTTGTCGGGCCTATTACCAAGCCAGCAAGGGTGTGGGAGGGTTGCGAGCATCATCGGTCATCGGCGCTCGCGAATGAAGAGCGCCCGCTGCACTTCCCGCACATGTGCGGATCCTTCCGCGTTTTGGGGCTGGAAGCGCTCGTTCCGAGCGTTTTTCTTCCGCCGGGTCACGTGGCTGCGCTTGTCTAGGCCCATTACCAAGCCAGCAAGGGCGTGGGAGGGTTGCGAGCATCATCGGTCATCGGCGCTCGCGAATGAAGAGCGCCCGCTGCACTTCCTGCACATGTGCGGATCCTTCCGCGTTTTGGGGCTGGAAGCGCTCGTTCCGAGCGTTCGCTCGCGAATGAAGAGCGCCCGCTGCACTTCCTGCACATGTGCGGATCCTTCCGCATTTTGGGGGTGGAAGCGCTCGTTCCGAGCGTTTTTCTTCCGCCGTGTCACGTGGCTGCGCTTGTCTGGGCCTATTACCAAGCCACCAAGGGCGTGGGAGGGTTGCGAGCATCATCGGTCATCGGCGCTCGCGAATGAAGAGCGCCCGCTGCACTTCCTGCACATGTGCGGATCCTTCCGCGTTTTGGGGCTGGAAGCGCTCGTTCCGAGCGTTTTTCTTCCGCCGGGTCACGTGGCTGCCCTTGTCCGGTTCTATTACCAAGCCAGCAAGGGCGTGGGAGGGTTGCGAGCATCATCGATCATTGGCGCTCGCGAATGAAGAGCGCCCGCCGCACTTCCTGCACATGTGCGGATCCTTACGAGTTTTGGGGGTGGAATCGCTCGTTCCGAGCGTTTTTCTTCCACCGCGTCACGTGGCTGCGTTTTACTGGGCCTATTACCAAGCCAGCAAGGGCGTGGGAGGGTTGCGAGCATCATCGGTCATCGGCGCTCGCGAATGAAGAGCGCCCGCTGCACTTCCTGCACATGTGCGGATTCTTCCGCATTTCAGGGCTGGAAGCGCTCGTCACGTGGTTGCGCTTGTCTGGGCCCATTACCAAGCCAGCAAGGGCGTGGGAGGGTTGCGAGCATCATCGGTCATCCACGCTCGCGAATGAAGAGCGCCCGCTGCACTTTTCTGCACATGTGCGGATCCTTCCGAGTTTTGGGGGTGGAAGCGCTCGTTCCGAGCGTTTTTCTTCCGCCGGGTCACGTGGCTGCGCTTGTCCAGGCCCATTACCAAGCCAGCAAGGGCGTGGGAGGGTTGCGAGCATCATCGGTCATCGGCGCTCGCGAATGAAGAGCGGCCGCTGCACTTCCTACACATGTGCGGATCCTTCCGCGTTTTGGGGCTGGAAGCACTCATCCCGAGCGTTTTTCTTCCGCCGGGTCACGTGGCTGCGCTTGTCTGGGCCTATTACCAAGCCAGCAAGGGTGTGCGAGGGTTGCGAGCATCATCGGTCACCGGCGCTCACGAATGAAGAGCGCCCGCTGCACTTCCTGCACATGTGCGGATCCTTCCGCATTTTGGGGCTGAAAGCGCTCGTTCCGAGCGTTTTTCTTCCGCCGTGTTACGTGGCTGCGCTTGTCTGGGTCTATTATCAAGCCAGCAAGGGCGTGGGAGGGTTGCGAGCATCATCGGTTATCGGCTCTCGCGAATGAAGAGCGCCCGCTGCACTTCCTGCACATGTGCGGATCTTTCCGCGTTTTGGGGCTGGAAGCGCTCGTTCCGAGCGTTTTTCTTCCGCCGGGTCACGTGGTTGCGCCTGTCTGGGCCTATTACCAAGCCAACAAGGGCGTGCGAGGGTTGCGAGCATCATCGGTCATCGGCGCTCGCGAATGAAGAGCGCCCGCTGCACTTCCTGCACATGTGCGGAACCTTCCGCATTTTGGGGCTGAAAGCGCTCGTTCCGAGCGTTTTTCTTCCGCCGTGTTACGTGGCTGCGCTTGTTTGGGCCTATTACCAAGCCAGCAAGGGCGTGGGAGGGTTGCGAGCATCATCGGTTATCGGCGCTCGCGAATGAAGAGCGCCCGCTGCACTTCCTGCACATGTGCGGATCCGTCCGCGTTTTGGGGGTGGAAGCGTTCGTTCGGAGCGTTAAAATGGCTCAAAACGCCCGGGGCGCGCCCGCCCCAAAGGGGGTGGGACGCACGTTTGTGCGCGTTTGAAGCTGACAGCCATCCTGTATGGCGCGTGGGGGTATGGCGAGCAGGATTGTGCGGAAAAATCCCGTGCGATTCGCACTTTTCTACACTGGTGCGGATCGTTTCGCGTTTTCGAACAAAAATGGCTCAAAACGCCCGGGGCGGGCCCGCCCCAAAGGGGGTGGGACGCACGTCTATGCACGTTTGGAGCTGACACCCATCCTGTATGGCGCGTGGGGGTATGGCGAGCAGGATCGTGCGAAAAAATCCCGCGCGATTCGCACTTTTCTACACCGGTGCGGATCGTTTCGCGTTTTCGAGCAAAAATGGCTCAAAACGCCCGGGGCGGGCCCGACCAAAGGGGGTGGGACGCACGTTTGTGTGTGTTCGGAGCTGACACCCATCATGAATGGGGCGTGGGGGTATGGCGAGCAGGATCGTGCGACAAAATCCTGTGCGATTCGCGCTTTTCTACACCGGTGCGGATTGTTTCGCGTTTCTGAGAAAAAATGGCTTAAAACGCCTGGGGCGAGCCCGCCCCAAAGGGGGTGGGACGCACGTTTGTGCGCGTTTGGAGTTGACACCTATCCTGAATGGCGCGTGGGGGTATGGCGAGCAGGATCTTGCGAAAAACCCCCATCACCCCCATCACCCCCATTACCCCCATCACCCACATCACCCCCATCACCCCCATCACCCTCATCACCCCCTTCACCCCCTTCACCCCCATCACCCCCATCACCCCCATCACCCCCATCACCCCCCTCCAGTCCTCCATTTCACTTCGTCCGCTCTCTCCTCTGCTTTTGTCTATTGCTGCTGGCTGCTCTGTCCGCTGCACGGCCTGATTGCTTTTCGTGGTGGACTCACTCTGTGTGGTCTCGTGCAGTACCGAGGGCGTGGTGGCTCCATTGCTGCACGGGCCTTGCTGTTCCAAGGGGAGGCAGCAGAGGGAGGAGGCGCATGGACGGGCGGCAGTGGGATTGACTAATGGTCGGCACTCAATGCGTGCCCTGCTGACCGCTGCTCACCACCGCATGCGCTCATGCGCGGAGAGGGAGTGGGGGGCAATGGGAACTGGAGGATCAGGGTGCTCCCTCCTTACCTCCTGTAAGTTTCTCTAATTTGCTTGTCGTTTTCATGTTGTTGCGGTTGCCTTTCCTTTGTGTCTTCGTCCTTTTTGCCTCGTCCCTTGTCCTTCTGTCTTTGCGTTCTGGCTTCTTCTTAATTTCTCCACGCCCTTTCAAAGCCCCACCCAACAACTCGCCGTCACTTTAGGATTGTCTCCTCCTTTTTGCTTGTAGGGAAACACACTAAGCATCACCACCATCAGTGTGTGGCGACCTACAGAGTGGGGCGTTCTGTTTGCGGCCGTGTGCACTAGACATCAGCCAAGCAATGGCACGCCATGCTCATCTGATGGTGGGGAGCTGCAAGGGACGCTACTGCTTGCAGCGGCGCCTCGCCCTCACAGCCTCCCAGAGCAGCGGCGCCTCGCCCTCACACCCCACAGTCCCATCCCACAGTCCTACCCCACAGTCCCATACCACAGACCCATCCCACAGTCCCATCCCACGTTCCCATCCCACAGTCCCATCCCACAGTCCCATCCCACAGTCCCATCCCACAGTCCCATCCCACAGTCCCATCCCACAATCCCACCCCACAGTCCCATCCCACAATCCCACCCCACAGTCCCATCCCACAGTCCCATCCTACAGTCCCATCCCACAGACCCATCCCACAGTCCCATCCCACAGTCCCATCCCACAGTCCCATCCCACAGTCCTACCCTACAGTCCCATCCCACAGTCCCATCCCACAGTCCCATCCCACAGTCCCATCCCACAGTCCCATCCCACAGTCACATCCCACAGTCCCATCCCACCGTTCACGGTTTGTTGCTACCGCTTTGCATGGGGCTGGCGGGCTGAGAGGGCTGGCAGGCTGGCTCAGGCCGGTGCCCTTCCACAAGATTTAAACCTGACTGAGACCTCCTTTACCAATGTCATTATTTACTTTATGTGCTACATGAACATGAATTTCGTGTGGAAGGTCACTAAAACATCTGTATCTCAACATACGGTACTCATGCTGGATTGAATGTCAATGCTGTGGTCTTGTGGAATCACTGGAATGACCCAGAAGGAAAGCCCCTTGATGAAATGACAAAATCTAATGCTGCTCATCATGCTGCTTAGTTATAAGGATCCATATTGACCGAATGCAGTTTTAAGTACGTAAAGTTTAGAATATCATGCAAAGAAGAAAGCATCCCGTGTATTGGTCTGGAAGAAAGTATCCCGTGTACCGTAGTTGGTTATGTATGCAAGCAATGAATATGTTGAATTTAGTTGGTGGGAGTTAAGTACATTCTTGTAAGCCTTAGCGTAAGTGTAGTTGGACCTCCTCCTTACTACAGCCTTCTGACGAACTGCTTACCCCTTCTGACAAGCTCAAGGCTGGTGGGCATGTCAGATCTGCCAATTCTCGAGATTGCACCAACATCCAGGAAATCTTAGCATCTGGAAGACGAATGTGCCTGCTATATTTCTCGCCTCCCATTCCATGGCATCCTATTTCGTCTTTCTCGAATTCTTATTTTCTTTCGGTAGACCGTAGGAGAGAGTAGGGTAGCCATGCCGCCGATTGCTCGAAAGAAGAAGCCGGGGGGAGGAGGTCTTGGCGCAGTCAGGCTGAGCTCCAAGCCTCTCGCGACGTGGTCAGATGGATCGGGAGCGACAGACGCGTCCACTGGATTCGCACATCAAGACCCTCCTGCTCCTGCCGCGCAGCTCGAATCTCCTCAGTCCGTACCTCGCGGATCCCACGCTGCGTCGCACGCTCTGCCTGCTGCGATTGATGGCAGTCAAGCGACCCGAACCCATTCCACCGTCGCATCTCAGCCGTCGGATTCACATCGGCATCCGTCGATCCGGGACGTGCATCCGGCAGATCCGCTTGACGTTTTGCTGCCGGAATCCGCGAAGCAGCATCTGCTTGCAGCGACGGACCCCGCACACCCTCCGCACGCAACTGCGAAGCGAGGAGCAATAGCTGCTTCCAAGAAAGGACTTTCGCAATCCGTCGCACCGTCGTCGTCCAATGCGACATCGCATGCGACAGATGCGACTCCAACGACATATGTCGTCGCTTCGACTAACAGATCGTCAACAGCACATCATCAACCCTCCACCGCGCCATCGTCGCAAGGGCAAGGCGCGGTTCCTCCCGCGTTTGCTCCCGCTCCTCGCGCTGCAGCTTCCGCTCCGCACGGTCCGTCGTCTTCCGCGGCGGGTGCAGCGACCGCGCCGATTAAGATCATCGGGCTCTCCGGCAAGGCGTCGCGCTCGTCGCTCGTTAAAGGCAAGCCGCTGGTCGCTCGCTCCGCCATCACTCCCTCTCCCGCAGCAACCCCCAATGCTGCCAACAACGCTCCTGCCACCTCGGCTAGCAGCAGCAGCAGTAGCAGCGGCAGAAGTGTAAGCCTGTCTACTCTCACGGGTGCCCCATTCGTCGCATCTATCCCCGCTAATGGCATTCCCGCTGCAGCGCCAGCACCTTCGGCTACACCTGCTGCGATTCCGATGTCTTCCGTTCCGTCGAGTCACGCAGAGCCGGCAGCGAGTGCGTTTCTGGGCTTCGACGACACGGACGATCTGCGCGCGGATGCTCCACGCGCACCCTCTCGCCCCGCCTCGTCCTCCGCCGCCGTCCCCGCGCCTCTCCTCCCCCCCGCGGCAGTGTCGTTCTTTGACTCCCCGCTCGCCTCAGCCGCGCCTGCGCCACCCGTTCCCCCCGCACCGGCATCCCCCACCTCGTCTTGCTCCTCCACCTCCTCGTCCTCCGCGCCCGCCGCGCGCAAGCTAACGTCGCCCCGGCTGGGAGGCAAGCCCGCAGGCAAAGGCAGGCTGCTGGGGGCCGTGCCCAGACGGCTGTCCGCGCCGCAGCTGAGTGCTGCGAGCAGTGGCGGCGGGCCTGGCGCTGAGAATCAGGCGCAGGCGGCGGAGGAGCAACAAGCGCGGGATGCGCAGATGGAGCAGGCGAGGGAGCGGGAGATGCAGCGGCAGATGGAGGAAGAGAGTCGGAAAGTGCGGGAGCAACAGGAGCGCGAGCGGTTGGAGCAGTTGCGGAAGGAGGAGGAGAGGAGGGAGAGGGAGCGGTTGGAAGAGGAGCGAAGGGAGAAGGAGAGGAAGGAGAAGGAGCGACAGGAGCAGCTTAGGGTTGAGCGGGAGAGAAAGGAGAAGGAGCGACTTGAGCGGCTTAGAGCAGCGCAAGAGAGGAAGGAAAGGGAGAGGGAGGCGCAGCTGAAAGCCGTGCAGGAGAGAGAGGAAAATGAGAGGCTTGAGCGTGAGAGGAAGGAGAAAGAACGACTGGAGCAGCTCAGGTTGGACCAGCTTAGGTTGGAGCAGGAGAGGGAGGAAAAGGAGCGGCTGGATCTTTTGCAGAAAGAAGAGGAGAGGAGGGAGATGGAGAAACAGGAACAGATCAGAATTGAGCGTGAAAAGAAGGAGAGAGAGGAGCAAGCGAGGCTGCAGAAGGAGGAGGAGAAGAAAGCGAAGGAAATGCAAGAACGGATGGAGAAGGAACGGATTGAGAAGGAACGGTTCGAGAGGGAACGGATGGAGAAGGAACTGATGGAGAAGGAGAAGAGAGAGGAAAGGGAGCGAGAGGAGAAAGTAAGGAAAGAGCTAGAGAGAAAGCAGAAGGAGGAACAGGAGCAGCAAAGGCGGAAGGAAAGGGAGCGGAAAGAGAAACTGAAGGCAGAGAGAGAACGGTTAGAGTGGGAAAAGCGGGAGCAGGAGCGGATTGAGGAGGAGAAGAAGGAGCAGGAGAGGCGCAAGGAGCAGGAACGGAAGGAGAGGGAGCGGCAGGAGGAGTTAAGGAAGGAAGAAGAACGGAAGGAGCGGGAACGGCAAGAGTGGCTTCGGCGAGAGGAAGAGAGGAAGAAGAAGGAGCGACAGGAGCAGTTGCGACGAGAGCGAGAGAGGAGGGAGCAGGAGAGGCAGGAGCGTCTGGAGCAGCAGCGCAGGGAGCGCGAGCAGAAAGAGCGCGAGAGGCAAGAGATGGAGCGCAGGGAGAGGGAGAGGCAGGCGGAGGAGCAGGCGCAGGAGGTGAGGAAGCAGCGCACGAGGCCCGCTGCTGAAGGCGGTGGGTTGGCAGGCAGCGCGTGGGCCAACGGGCGGGAAGATCCCTCGGGATATGCTGTGGAGGGTGGCGCCAAGGTGGGTCGTACTCATGCTGACGTGGCTGCCGGCGCGGCTGCTCGGTTGGCTGCAGGCGAGGAGGCCAACGGCGAGCAGCGGAAGGGGCAGAGCAAGAAGGGCGGGGGTGGTGGGCACGGCGAGGGCTGGGCGGGAGAGGGGGACGGGTGGGGGAGCATAGACGAGGGTGATGACTGGGGGATCGCGGACAGATTCATTGCGGAGAGGCCCCTGGGGGAGCGCGAGTATGCGCGCACCAGCAGCTTCCAGGGCGTTGGATCCGCTGCCATGAGCGGAGAGGCGGGCGCGCAGGGGCGGAGACCAAACGGGGACGGGTGGGGAGGCCTGGGCGGGGATGCGTGGGGCAGGTTCGGGGTGGGGGGAGTGGGCGCGCGCATGGCACGGCCGGCGACAGCGGGGGGGCGGAGGGAGGGGGCGTGGCCGCTGCTGGGGTCGCTAGTGAAGGCGGCGTCTGACGTGTCCGCGTGGTCGTCTGACGTGCTGCTGACGGGGCAGCCCGGGGAGGACGCGGGGGATGGCGCAGGCAGGGAGGGCGGGCAGGGTAGAGGTGGTGAGCAGCAGGGAGAGAAGGGCGGGGCGGGAGTGCTGGGGGAGGGAGGTGACGTGAATGAAAGCGAGGGCGTGGCTGGGGCCGTTAGCAGGCGGGGAGGGGATGGCGTGGGGGAGGACAAGGAGAGCAATGAGAGCAATGAGAGCAAGATCCGCAGTCTGTTTGACAAGGCTGGCGCAGGGCGAGAGGGCGCAGGGGCGAAGCTGGGCTCGCAGGTCATCAACCAAGGTGAGCTGCCTGCTGTCGTTGCCTGTGGCGCTTGGCAAGTGTGCACGGTTCATGTGCGAATGTGTCATTGTGCATTTGTGAATGAATGTGTGATCGTGCATGGGTGAGCGAGAGCGTGCATGTGAGCTCATTCACTGCACTGCAACTGACACCAGTCCCAGCAGCATGGATGCCTACCTACCAACAAAGCATGTCCAACGCGCCCCTTTCCTCTGCCCCCTCTGCAGGTGCGTTGGCCCTCAAGGGTCTCGCCATGCCCGTGCTCTCCATGCTGGGAGGCGCCGCTGCGGACCCAGCCACTGCCGCCTCCCCTGCTTCAGCAGCACCTGCTGCTGCTGCTGCTGCTGCTGTTGCTGATGGCCCCAAGCCCACATGGGGTGCGACGAGCGCAGCTGGCTTTGCTTCTTGGATGGGCGGAGGGGACGAGGGTGGCGAGGGCGGGGCAGAGGCTGGGGCAGAAGTGGGGGCTAGCGGTAGGGAGAGGGGAGGAGGAGGTGGGGGGAGGAAGCAGCTGGGGTGGGAGGACCTAGTGAGCATGGACTTTGGGGGCGTGGGGGAGGACGCGGACGAGGGGGGCGCGGATGGGGGGGCGTCGGGCGAGGTGGGTGTGCTGGCCATGCTGCAGAGGGGACTAGCGGACGAGGAGGAGGAAGAGGAAGACGAAGAGGAGGAGGAAGAAGATGTGATGGCAGCGCTGGCGAGCGGCAGAGCAGTGCGGCTGGGGGGACCCATGATGGCGTCGGTGGCGTCTGCAGTGTCGGCTGCTGCCACCCGTCTGCTCAAGGCCACTGCCAGTGAGGAGGACGCTGCCGCCTTCTTTGCTGCTGTGGACCGCGACGCTGTGCGCCCTGCCCCACCCGCCGCCGCTGCTGCTGCTGCTGCCCTTGCAGGGCCCACGCAGCAGCTGCTGCCGGGTGCTCTGGGCGCTGCTGGTTCAGGATCCGCTGAGTCTGGTTCTGCTGGCGTGGGTGGGGGAAGGAGTGGGGAGGAGGGCGGGCAGGTGGAGGGCGTGAAAGTGGGAGGCGAGGAGCGGGAGGAGGAGGATGCGGCGGCTTGGTTCATGTCTGCTGATGCTGATGCTGATGGCGATGGCGATGCTGATGCTGAGGTTGATGCTGGTGCCGGCGCTGGTGTTGTTGGGGTAGGGGGGATGCAGGGGGTAGAAGGGCAGGCGATTGGAGTAGGCGAGGAGAGGGAGGGGAGTGAGCAGCAGTGTGCAGAGGAGCAGCGCGCTGGGGATGCAAACCTTGGGGAGCAGAGCGTGGGGGAGCAGAGCGTGGGAGAGGGGTATATGGGAGAGCAGCAGATGGCGGTGGTGGGCGGGGAGGGAGGGCAGGAGGGGCAGGCGTGGCAGGCGTATCAGGATGGGCAGGCGGGATGGCAGCACGAGAGTCAGGGCGAGGGGCACTATGGGGGACAGGGCGAGGGACAGTATGGGGGCCAGGTGGAGGGGCAGTATGGAGGGCAGGGAGACGGGCAGTATGCAGGGCAGGGTGAGGGGCAGTATGGGGGTCAGCTGGAGGGGCAGTACGGAGGGCAGGGCGAGTTGACAGCGGAACAGTGGGAGGAGCAGCAGCGGCAGTGGGCAGAGGCGTACCCTGGCTGGTACTGGGACTACGCAGCAGGTGAGAAGGGTTTGTGTAATTGCTTGGTGGCAGCGATGGTGCAAGTTAGATCGTCCGTAACGGTTTGTTCTTCTTGCTGAGCCTGTAGGGGTGTCAGGTGCTGTTATCTCTGACACAGTTGACTGATTGTATTGCTCTGGCCCTGCATCCGTCATCCTTTCCCTCTCGTGTCATGCCGTCCATCATGGCAGGCGAGTGGAGGCAGATCGAGGGCTATGTGCCACCTGCTGCTGCTGACACCGCAGCTGTAGCAGATGCCTCTGCTGCTGCACAAGCAGATCCTGGAGCAGCAGCAGCAGCAGTGGCAGCAGGCGACGCTCCAGCAGCAGGCGCCACAGAGCATGCAGCATTGGAGGAAATTCCATCAGAGCAAGTTCTTCCTGAATCAGAAGCAGCAGTGTGTGAGGCGCCTGTCGCTGAGCCTTCAGCCGCTTGGTCTGACGCGCCACAGACAGAGGCGTGGCAAGGGGCCGGCGAGGCGGTGGCGGGTGGGTGGGATGGAGCAGAGGGGATGCATGCGGAGGAGGTGACGGATGTGGCACATCAGGCTGAGACGGGCGAGGGGGATTCAGCTGACGCCCTGCCACCTGTCCCTGCCACGGGTACATCTGAGTTTCAGCCGGTGCTGATGGCAGCAGGTGATCAGGGCAAGGAGCAGGCAGAGAGCCGTGTGCAGGAGGGAGTTACAGGAGAGGGTGGGGATGAGCAGCTGCCAGTCAGTCCTGCTCTCCAGCCCCTCTCCTTCGATGCGGCTCCCCCTCTGCCTCTCCTCCCTGACTCCCATCCCACGGTTCCCCCGCTCTCCTCTGAGATCACACAAGCTGGCGCCGGGATAGATAGGGGGGAGGAGGGTTTGTCGCAGCCTATTCTGTTGCCTGTGTGCGAGGGAGGCGAGGCCGTGGCAGTGGCAGCAGGGGCGGAGGTTGCTGGGGAACATGCTGCAGTAACAGACGCAGCGGGTGCCGAAGGGGGGAGTGTGGGTGGTGTGGGCGAGGGTGGGCATGGTGCGTTAGACGCAGAGGGAGGCAAGGAGCTGGGGAATGCTGATGTGCAGATGGGGGAGGAGGGGCAGTTTGCAGGTGAAGCCGCTTGGGCGGGCGAGCAGCAGCAGGAGGGGCAGCAGCAGGCGGAGGGCCAGGGTGTAGAGGCAGCGACAGTTGGTGAGTCGGGGGTTATCGCGACGGAGTACCCGGGGTGGGTGGTGGATGCAGTGACTGGCGAGTGGCGGCAGGTGGGCGAGGCGGCGCCGGCAGCTGCAGATAGGGCTGGCGGTGCGGCGGGCAGCAGCGGCGCAGCAGCAGCAGTGGAGGAGCCCATCGCGCTGCACTACCCCGGATGGCGATGGGATGGCCTGCTGGGCCAGTGGGTGCCGGATGATCAACTGGATGCTGCCGCCGCTATTGCTGCGGATGGGGCTGAAGCTGCTCCGGACTTGGCTGATGCTGCTGCTGGAACGGCATTAGCAGTAGAGGCAGTGGCAGTAGAGGCTGTAGCTGAAGGCGCAGAGGCGACAGTTGCTTCTTCAGGTGAGCCTGTTAACGGGGAGCAGCAGTGGACCCTGGGGGCAGAAGCAAAGGAGCCTGTGGCTCCAGAAGGGGAGGGGTCGGAGTGGATGGAGGCAGGCGAGGGAGAGGTGGTTGATGCAGCAGCGGGAGAGGAGGGCATGGGGCTTGCACCATCAGAGATGATAGGCAGTTCAGCAGCAGGGGGTGCAGAGGGCGACGGTAGCCAGAGCGAGGCAGTCTCAACACAAGTAGTCGATTCAGCTGAGGGTATGGTTGAGGATCCTGTAGGGAATGCAGCAGAGTTTCTGGCGCAAGAGGAGCAAGTGTTGTCAGCAGGTGTAGAAGCAGTGGAGGCAAAGGGTTGGGAGGCAGACGGGGCAGGCAGTGAGGCAACAGCAGCGGGTGCAGCGGATGGTGCATTCACTGAGGGTGCGGAGACAGCGGGAAGTGAAGCCATTGCAACGCAGTACCCCGGGTGGGAGTGGGACGCTGTGGCGGGCCAGTGGGTGTTCACAGGCGAGCAGCCCGCTGTAGCTGCCGACTCTGCTGCTGCTGGCTCCGCTTCTGCTGGCGACATGGGCGAGTCTGTGGCTGTGGTAGGCGCGGTGGGAATGGCGGCAGGTGGTGAAGCAGGGGGCGCAGCAGCCGTGGTGGCAGGGGAGGGGTGGCCTGAGAGCGAAATGAGTGGGACAGTGGTAGACTGGGCAGCAGAGGCGGTTGAGGGAGGCGTTGAGGGATCGTTTGTGGGGTTTGAGAGCGAGGGGCAGGTGGTGAGTGAGGCAGGGGGGGAGGCGATGGAGGGGCAGGCTGATAGTGCAGGAGGGGAGGCGGATGTCAAGGCGGAGGCAGACGGATTTGCGGATGTTGGTGTTGAGGCTGCGACTGAAGCTGAGGTCAGTGCACCAGTGGTGGAGGAGGAGGCGAAAGGGACAGCTGGAGGTGCAGAAGAGGCAGAGGTAGGGGAAGAAGCGGTTGAGGGGTGGACAAACGGGCAGCAGCAGGGAGAGCTGCAAGTGTTGGATGCAGGAGCAGACCCAGCACTTGCAGCAGCAGCAACTGCTGTCTCTGCTGCTGCTGCTGCTGCTACTGCCAGTCTGGTTGGTGAGGAGACGGCAGCTGGAGTCACAGCAGAGGCAGAGGGTGCTTCTCAGGAGCCCTTCTGGGCGGACGCAGGGCCTACGGAGGGAGACTATGGGGAGGCGCTGGGGCTAGGCGCAGGTGGTGCAGAGGAGGCAGTGGGAGAGGGCGATGGAGGGATGGCAGCAGTGGTGGCGGCAGAGGCAGAGGGTGCGGAGACAGCAGGGTATGAGGCGACAGCAACGCAGTACCCCGGGTGGATGTGGGATCCTCTCACGGGCCAGTGGGTGCCCACAGACGAGCAGCCGGCTGTAGCAGAGGCGGCTGAAGCAGGTGACGCTGGTGGAGCAGCTGAGGTCACGGGAGCAGCTGATGCTGCTACAGCTGATGTGAGCGCGTTCGAAAAGGCCGGTGCAGTGCTTGAGGCGGCAGCAGCAGCAGCACCAGCAGTAGATGCAGCAGCAGCAGGGGCAGGGTTGGAGATGGGGGAGGGCGATGGGGTGTTTGAGGAGCAGGACTTGTCAGGGGACGCCGGGGTGGCTGTGCAACCACTAGCAGCAGAGGAGCATGCAGGTGGGCCTGAGGCTGCTGTTGTGGCAGAAGGTATAGCAGAGGCAGAGGTTACTGGGGGAGAGGGTGCAGCAGGGCAAGAGTGGACGACGGCAGGGCAAGAGGGGCTAGCAGAGGAGGAGGGCACAGCAGGCGAAGGAGACGTGTTTTGGAAGGAGGAGGTGGTGGAGGCAGCTGCTGTGGCAGCCCCATGGGAAGCAGAGGGCGGGTCGACAGAAGCTGAGGGCGGGATAAGCACGTCAGTGTTGAGCGCAGATGGACCTGGGACTGAGGTGGCGGGTGGAGGGGCACAGGCAGAGGCAGAGGCACAGGCAGAGACGTTTGCGGTTAGTGGAGTGGCAGCAGGGGGCGACGTCATAGCAACGGAGTACCCGGGGTGGGTGGTGGATGCAGTGACTGGCGAGTGGCGGCAGGTGGGCGAGGCGGCGCCGGCAGCAGCAGATGGGGCTGGCGGTGCGGCGGGCAGCAGTGGCGCAGCAGCAGCTGGGGGGGAGGCCATTGCGCTGCAGTACCCCGGGTGGCGCTGGGATGGCCTGCTGGGCCAGTGGGTGCCGGACGACCAGCCAGATGCTCCTGTGGCAGATGCGGATGGGGCTGAAGCTGTGGCGGCAGTCTCAGCTTTGGATGAAGGCGAGGCAGCAGAGGTTGCCGCAGTGGAGGCGGTGGGTGAAGCAGCAGAGAGCTCAGGCATGGAGGGTGTGGGTGGGGAGGCAGGGGGCATTGAAGGCAGCGCAGAGGGGGGAGTGATAGCGACGGAGTACCCAGGGTGGAGGTGGGATCCTCTGACGGGTCAGTGGTTGCCCACGGACGAGCAGGTGCCTTCTGGTGCAGGCGCAGCTGCTGCTGCAGGCGAAGCTACTGCTGCTGCTGTGGAGGCAGTGAGTGGCGCAGGGGACGAGGCAGCAGTGGCGGCTGGCAGCGTGGCAGCAGGCGGGGAGAGTGCAGGGAGCGAGGGTGCAGTGGGCACAGGCTTTGGGGCGGGGGAGGCGGATGAGTGGGCTCAGTTTGAGGAGACGGTGCCCAAGGAAGGGGAGGCAGAGGGGGGAGCTGCTGCAGGTGCAGGCAGTGTGGATACATCCCAGGCCGAGCCTGCCATGCAACTGTCTTTTGAGGCGGCTCCGCCCCTCCCTGGCCTCGCCCCGCCTCCGGACTCTCTTGCTGCTGGGACTGAGGTCGCGCATGCGCCTGGGGCTGCTCTTTCTGCAAGCGTAGAGGCAGGTGGGGAGGGGCTGGGCGAGCAGAGTGGTGCGCAGGGAGTAGAGGCAGGTGCGGCTTCAGAGGTGAGTGCAGCTGGTGCGAGTGCTGCAGGTGAGGTGGCAGGTGGAGCAGGGGAGGGCGAGGCAGGGGCGTGGGCGCAGAAGGATTGGAGCCAGTGGGGGCAGACGGAGTATGATGCGTACAATGCTTGGTACTACCAGCAGCAGCAGCAGGCACAGGAAGGGGAGGGACAAACACAAGCCACACAGTATGGCAGTACAGAGGCAGTGGCAGCACAGGGTGCTGCGGCAGCAGCAGGGGTTAACGGGGAAGCAGTGGCAGCAGAGGGTGCATCTTCCTACCCTTCAGCACCAGACAATGCCGCCTCGCAGCCTCTGCAGCAGCCGCCATTGCCCATTCAGCCACAGCCGTTCCTGCCCGCCCCTGCCCCATGGGGAGAGGGCGGCGCAGCAGAGGCGCAGGGTGACAGCAGCTACCCTGGTGGGTCGTCTCAGCCCGACCCTGGGTACGGCCCTGCAGGCTCGCGCTACAGCCAGCCCCACCCCGGCTACAGCCAGCCCCAGCCACACGCTCCCTGGGTGCCAGGCACGGCAGGGAAACCTGCGGTGGGGCTGATGGTGCCTTCTGCCCCATACTCACAGCAGCCGCAGCAAGCGCAGCAGACGGCAGGGGTTGGGGGGTATGCACAGGGGTATCAGGGGTACCAGCAGGGGTACCAGTATGGGCAGTACGAGCAGCAGGTGCAGCAGCAGCAGTACCAGCCAGTGCAGTACAATCACGTGCCGCCCACCAGCACAGCGGAGGCCGTGCTGTCGTCTGCAGGCCGCCCGCCACACACGCTGCTGGCGTTTGGGTTCGGAGGCAGGGCAGCCGTGGTGGTGCCTGGCAGCTCGCTCGGTCAGACCCTGGGGTCGCAGGGGCAGGTGGAGGTGAGTGCTGCTCCCCGTGCTGCTGTCATTTTTCATTGCAGGATCGCCCTGCTTTTAATCAAACTAAATTCACTCAATCAGTCACACTCGCACTAAGTCTTCCCTAACCCCCTCGCCCCCTTTTTCCCTCCCCCAATCCCCACTTCCCCCTCTCCGTGCCACGCCTTGGTAACGGCCGCAGCTATCCCCCCCAGTGCAGCCGACGCTAAAGCTGCTCCCCCTGCCTCACCTGCTGAGCCTCGCCACCCACGACGGCACCTCCACTGCCGCCAGCACCGCCGGCTCGCTCTACCTCGCCCCACTCACTGGCAAGCACGCGCCCAATGGCCCGCTGACAGCTGGCAGCATGTCAGCCAAGGAGCTGAGCAAGTGGCTGGAGGAGCGCGCGGAGCGGAGCGGCGAGGAGGAGGAGGCGGAGGCAGGGGGCGGTGGGGGTGCGGAGAGGGCGGAGAGTGTGGCGCTGCTGTGGCGAGTGCTGCGAGTGGCGTGTCAGTTCTACGGGCAGCTCAGGCGGGATGGCATGGGCAGTCGCTCCGCACAGGTGTGTGCGGCGTGGTGGGTAGGTGGGTGGGGAAGCGCGTCGTTCCAGTGCTCCCTTCGTCCAATAATCCTCATGTCTATTTCCCGTGTGTGTGTTGCTGTCATCCGTGCTGCCTGCGGCACAGCACAAGTGCGTTGAGACCTCTCAAAACAGATGTTTTATCACGCCGCCTGCGACACAGCATGAATGCTGTCAGCAGCCTTCGCGGTGATGCCAGGTTTCTTGTCCAAACGATTGTTGATCTTACCTTTCATGTGCTTGAGCTGCCCCTCCTTACCCTCACCTCACCATGCATGCACCCATGTGCATGTACCACATGCCATGTGTCATGGGCAGGGCGAGTCATCCCCAGAGGCAGAGCTAGCCAAGGTACTGGCAGTGGGAGGGGCTGGACCCACCACTGCTACAGCCGCCCCTGCTGCTGCTACAGCCGGGCCCTTCCCGTCGGTGGCAGCGCCGGCAGCAGCAGTGGCTGCCATGGCGCCATACGCCTCTGCATGGTCGCCCCTGCCTGCTGCCGCCTCTGCTGCTGCACGAGTGTCGGACCTCCAGCTGCCCATCCCCACTGAGGCTGCTGTTCAGGTGCGCTCCTCCCCTGCTCTGCTCCTCTCCTCCACGTCCTGTCTTGCCGCTTCCCTGTCTTGTCTGTCGGCTTCCTTGTACTGCCTGCCAGCTCTTCCCTTCGCCACCCCCTGTCCTCCAGATGCACGTGCCCTCTGCTCTCCGCCTACCCCAACCCCTTCCTCCCTCCCTCCACACCCCTTCCCCCCACAGGCGGCAGCACAGGAGGTGAAGCAGCACCTGGTGGCGGGGAGGCACATGCAGGCACTGGAGGCAGCCAAGGCGGGCCACCTGTGGGGGCTGGCGCTGCTGCTCGCGCAGCACATGGGCGGCCCCACCGACACACGCCTCTTCCTCTCCACAGCACACGCCATGGCGGCGCAGCAGTTCGCCCCTGGTGCCCCTCTGCGCACACTCACTCTGCTGCTCACCCAGCAGCCATCTGCCGTGTTTGCCTCTGGTGCTGCTGCCACCGGTGCCGCTGCTGATGCCACCAAGATAGGAGCCGGTGGTGCTGGTGCTGCTGCTGGTGGGGGTGATGGTTCTGGTAGCAGTGGGAGCAGTGACGAGGGTGTGAGGGCGATGGTGGCGGAGTGGAGGGAGAATGTGGCGCTGATGGCAGCGACGCGCACGAGTGGAGATGAGAGGGTCATCTCCCACCTGGGCGACTGCCTGTGGCGCCTCAAGGGGGACGTGGCCGCAGCACACATCTGCTACCTCGTCGCAGCAGGCAGCTTAGAGCCCTTCTCCTCCTCTGCACGCATGTGCCTGCTAGGCACGGATCATCTGAAGCACCCGCGCACGTTTGTGACGGCGCAAGCCATTCAGTGCAGTGAGGTGCTTGAGTATGCGTTTGTGCTTGGCAATCCGCAGTTCGTGCTGCTCCCCCTGCTGCCCTTCAAGCTTGTTTATGCCGGCATGCTGGCCGAAGCAGGCCGCCCGGCCGCCGCCCTCAAGTACTGTAGCGCGGTGCTGAAGATGCTCAAGGCGGGCGGCAGGGGGCGGGGAGTGGCGGCGGAGGTGGAGGGGTGGAGGGCAGCAGCGGAGCAGATGGAGGAGCGGCTGAAGGTGCATGTGCAGGGGGCAGGGGGAGGTGGGGTGGCAGCAGCACGCGTGTTTGGTGATCTCATGAGCTTCCTTGATAGAGGCGCCAGGAAGATTGTCGGTGGGGGTCCTGCTGCTACGCCTCTTGCGCCAGGTGTCGCATCGGCATTGGGTGGAGGCGCCATGGGGGACATTGTGCCTGGAGGGGCTGGTAGCAAGCCGAGCTTGGGAGAGTCGTCTCGGTTTGGTTCGGCGCCGAACCTGGGGGTGGCTGGGAAGGCTAGTACGACAGGGGGAGGGGGGTGGTGGGGTCTGGGCAAGCGCGCCATTCCTGCATCCACATCGTCCCCAGGCCTGCACAGCGCGTCCGGGCCGAACCTGGTAGGTTTGGTGGAGGGGCAGGATGCAGGTGCCTCTGAAGGCGGTATGGCGGGCAGCTACAGTGCTGCTGCTGCTGCGATGGCTGGTGGTGGTGGGGCGGCAGATGGCTGGTCTGGTGGTGCGGTTGGTGCGGCAGCAGCAGGAGTGGGGCCACAGGGAGGATTGGGAGGGGAGCAGGGCAGTGCATGGAGTGGAGGGGCGAGTGGGGGAGTGCAGGGGGCAGCAGTTGGTGGCAGTGAGTGGGGCCAGGGGGTGGCGCAGGCAGGGCAGGTGGAGCAGAGCGAGCTGGCTGCACCGCAGTATGGTGGTTACGCTGCTGGTGGTTACCAGCAAGATCAGCAGCAGCAGTGGCAGCAATGGGAGCAGCAGCAGCAACAGCAGCAGCAGCAATGGCAGGAGTGGGAGCAGCAACAGCAACAGCAGCAACAGCAGTGGGGTCAGGAGCAGCAGCAGCAACAACAGCAGTGGGGTCAGGAGCAGCAGCAGCAACAAGCCTGGCCGGAGCAGCAGCAGGCATGGGATGAGCAGCAACAACAGCAAGGCTGGTCTCAGGAGACACAGGCATGGGGTGAGCAACCGCAGCAGCCGCAGCAGGAGCAGGTGGGGATGCAGCAGTGGGGTGATGGATATGGAGTGGGAGCGCAAGGAGGGCAGGAGCAAGGGGAACAGCAGACAGGCACAGGGGCAGGCGAGATGCAAGGGGGTGAGAGGGAGGGTGGGGGCGAGGGCGAGTGGCACGATGCAGCCGCTGAGGTGTTATCTGATACCTCGGACTCGGCTGCATGCACTCCGCTCTCCTCCTCCTCCACTCCTGCTGCCACCGCTGCTGACATGCCCCCCATCGCCCTCTCCCCGGCCTACGGCACACCCATGGGGGACAGCAACACAGCAGCAGCAGCAGCAGGAAGAGGGGCGAGCAGCAGGGCAGGGGAGGCGGTGCCTGCTGCATCCCAGACGCCAGCCATCAGGGAGGACGAGCCTCTCTCCATGGCAGCCTTTGCCGCGGAGTGGCACGGCACGCCCAGTGCAGCGGGGTGGGGGTCGGGCCACCTCACACCCATCAGGGAGTCCCCCAGTGGGGAGGGCGATGCTGACTTTGTGCCCCAGGCCCAGCCTGCCCTTGTGCCGCGCTCCCAGTCCGCCTCCGCTGCAGATCTACCCGCCCCAGGTGCACCTGCCGCCAAGAAGGCGGCCCCGCGCAGCAGATTCTCCCTGGCTGGGCTGCTGGGCGGGCACCCGAGCAAAGTGAGCCCGCAGGACATGGCCGAGGGGAGCGCTGATGCCACACTCACTGGGGCGGGTGGGAAGGCGGGAGCGAACGGCGATGGGAGTGGCGGGGGTGGGCCGTCAGCGTCGTCCTCGTCAGCGTCGCTGCTTGCCACGTCATCATCCATGGGGCTGGTGACAGAGGAGGCGGTGGAGGGGCTGCTCGCTACTGGCGCTGGCATGTCCAACAAGCGCAGCGCCTCCGCTCCTGACATGGGGCAGGCCGTGCCGGTGAGATGCGGGGGATGCTTAATGCATGTTGCATGATGCATGGCACTTGCCACATGATGCATGGTGCATGACCCATGATACATGTCACATGACTCATGCGCGGTTGCATGATGCTCCATGTGGTGACACTCCCGTCTCACCACGTCATGATGCAATCATTTCCCCCTTACCATAGCATTGGGCACCGCAGCAGTGGGTCAAACACAGTACGGGTGACATGTGCCTTCTCACCTCAGCCTCCTCTGCTCCCTTTCGTGTCTGCACCCAACGCCCCTCCTCTCCACCCTCTACAGGCCAAGGGCAGCAAGGGCGGAGGAGGCAAGCCGCCAGCAGCGCCAGGGGGCAAGGGGCTGGGGCGCCTCTTTGGCTACTTCTGGGGGGGCGGCTCTGCTGCTGGGAGCGCAGGGGGAGGAGGCGCAACCGGGAAGCAGGTGAGAGGGGAGGGGGGAAGGGATGGGTGAAGAGGGCTGTGGGAACGGGAGGTATGGCAGGTGTATGCTAAATCCTTGTGCTTGTAACTACGTGCTGTGTCGTTCACTTCAACCTTCCTGTCTCTCAGTTATTGCTCTTCCCCACACATTTGACATGCTGCTGCTCCCTATCCCCCCTTCCTGACATGGCAGGCGAAGCTGGGCGGGGAGAACACGTTCTACTTCAACGAGAAGCTGAAGCGGTGGGTGGAGCGAGGCAAGGAGGACGAGGTCGTGGAAACCACCCTCGCCCCGCCCCCCACCGCCTTCGCCTTCGCCCCTGCCGCTCCCGCCACCTCCAACTCCGCTGACCCTGCTGCCACCACCCCTGCTGCTGCTGCTGCTGCTGACGGTGCGCCGCCTGCTACGTCTGCACCGCCAGCTGTCCAGTCAGCAGCTCCTCCTGCGCCAGCTGCTGATTCCACGTCAGCACCGGCCAGCTCAGCAGCGAAGCCTGGCCCGCCACTGGCATATGCTGGCAGCTTTGGGCGGCGCAGTGCTGTGCGCTCCAGGTGGACACCCCTGCTTTTTTCTCTGCTTTTCTGTGACCTCTGCCATGCTCTGCTCTGCTAGTGTGGCCCTGGCTGCCCTGCAAAGGGGGCAAGGGGACATGCACCTGACTCTTATTTCCAGTTTGTGTTTCTGTGTGTCTTTTTTTCTACCACTCATCTCCCACTCACCTCGCGCATCAACACCCCCTCCCACGTTCCTCCTCCCCCTCCACGCGCACAGGTACGTGGACACATTCAACAAGGGCGCCACACCTGCACCCACGCCTGCCGCCTCGCTGCTGCCCTCCATCCCACGCCCCATGCCTGCTGCCGCTGGAGCAGCAGCGCCAGCAGCAGGGGGGCCACCAAAGTTCTTCATGCCTGCTGCACCCATGGCAGTCATGACCCCTGCCCCGGCTGCAGGGGGTGAGGCGAGCAGCACAGAAGGGCTGGGTAATGGAGTGGGGTCATCAGGTGGGGATGCCGTGCCAGGTGGTGGGTCAGGTGAATCGGGAGCAGCACCTGATGCTCCTGTGCCTGGGTCCTTGGCACCTCCAGGCATGGCGGTGGGGGCACCGCCGAGAGCAGCAGCGGGGGCAGGCAGGGCGGGGCAGAGAGCAGGTGGGCAAGGAGGTGGGGGGGCACAGCAGCACAAGGGCGTGTGGGCAGCGCAGGGGTACATGGCAGCTGCTCCTCCCATGCTGCCCCCGGGGGCTCAGGCTGCACCGGGAGCACAGGGAGCGGTGCAAGGGTTTACAAGCAGTGGCGCATGGGGTGGTGCTGGGGGGAATGGCAGCAACAATGGCTTCCCAGGGGCTGATGACATGCAGCAGGTGGAGCTGTGAGCGTGGCGTGGCACGCAGAGGGAGGAACACCAAGAGTGTCATCGTTATTGATGGAAACCACATTATCGTTTGTCACCTTGCGTGCTCAAGGATTGCCCCGCCTCCACATTGGCAAGTCTGAAAATTTTTGGACACAAAAACATTGGATGCTGATTTGTTAGGCCAAACTCTGGGCCTGGCTTTCTGACAAGTGTGCAGGACAATCGTTTTGTACTGTAATATTATTCAAAACATTCATGGTTCCCCTATGCAGGGAATATTGCAGCACGTTACCAGTGATGATGGGGGTCACTGTTTCAGCTACGGTAATCTGGCAATGTAGCCTGATGTGCCCAAAGCCCATCAATCACTCCACCACAAGGTGCCAATGTGAGCAGATGCAGGTGGAGCTGTGAGGGTGGCCACAGTGGCAAGGTTGCAGGGAATGTCTTTGTCATGGAGTGAAAACACATCCATGTGTGACCTTGTGTCGTGTGCCCGGTCTACACTTTCACAAGGCTGGAAAGCGCTGGACACATAACTGTTGGATGCTGATTGGTTTGGCCATAATTAGGCCCCAGTTTTCACATAATGTAATGTTATTCGAAGCCACATTCTTCCTTTGCAGAGATGGCAGTGGCCGAGTTGTGGAGATGATTTATAATCTGCCAATGTGGGTGGGCAGGTGCGGTAATGGCCATGGCTAGAGTGGAAGAGGAAAGGCAAAGGCCTCTGCATTGAAACGAATATGGATGTAATGCATCCAAGCTTCGTATATAGGTACACCCCAAATGCAGCAGTATAGTTCACATGAATCGCTACAAGGAGCAGGTGTGTGGCGCTGGCATGGTGTATGATCACAGCAGCAGCTGCACTCGCAGCAACTGAGCAGCCCTCGAACTAGAGAAGGTGAATGCCACCTCCTCATCATCCTCCTCCTCCCCCTCCTCACCCTCATCCTCCCCCTCCTCTATGTGTGCCTGCACTCGCCTCACACACCTCCACACTGCCCCCACCTTGCTCACCCTCCCCTGACTCTCCTCCCCTCCCCCTGCCGTCCTCCCATGCGGCATACCCCCCTCCCTCCACTGCCTTCTCTGCCGCTGCTGCAAACCGCCACTGCCAACACCAGCAGCAGCACCTGCCCCAGGTACCACCTTCCCCGCGTGCCGTTCAGCAGCAGCAGCATGCTCAAGAGGGCTCACAGCGTCACACAGCCGCCCCAGCAGGCTGCTGCTGCTGCCACTGCGCTGGTGCCCCCGCAGCTGACTCAAAGGGGGCGGGCGCGAGGGCATGGCCGAGTGGGTTGCGGATGGGTTGGGAGCGGTGGAAGATGTCGTCGCAGCATTGATGGGTGCTGGTGGCGGTGCTGATGTGGAGTACGATGCCGGCGGGAGATGATGGGGCGTGGGGGGGGCTGAGAGAGGTGAGAAGGGTCGCGTGGCAGGAAGGGGCGAGGAGGACGGGTGGGAGGGGAGGATGGAGGGAAAGGAGTAGGAGGAGAGGTCAGCAGAGAGGCAGCGAGGTGTGGAGAGAGCAGAGGTGGCAGCAGAGAGGGAGGAGAAGAAGGGGTGGCGTGAGGGGGAGGGAGGAGGCGAGAAGAACGAGGGGTCGATGGGAGGGCTGGTGGCAGTGGGAGAGGGGGCGGGGGAGGAGGGGTCGAAGTGAGCGTGCAGGGGCGGTGGGGGGCGAATGGGAGGGGGTTGGCGGGGCACGTGGCGGTAGAGATGGCGGATGACCAGCAGTGCTATGTCCTTATCTATCCATGCATCACTGGGACGGGGGGCGAGCGTGAGGAAGAAAGGGAGGTGGTGGATGTGGGAGGTAAGAGGAAAGTGGCAGATGGCGGTGAGGTGATTGGCAGGCACTGAGACACGAGCAGCAGCGGGGGAGAATGCTTGTTGAAGGAAGAATGGCAAAGGTAGAAAAAGACGGCAGCAGTCGTGCAGGAGAAAGGGGGGTTGAGATTGAAGGAGGCGAGGCAAGGCAAGTTGCAACTCACAAGTGGCAGCTCATGGCCTGCAGGTACTGGTGCTGGAAGGACGGGTCCTGGCGGGCAGCAGAGCATGGAGCGACGGGGGAGGGGGAAGGAGAGTGGGATGGGGCTGATGTGCGTGCGGCTGCACGCGATGCAACGGCATGCCCCGTATGGCGCACAGCACATGTCACCTACACAGCACAACCACAACAACGCCCCAAGACCCCCACACCCCCCCGGTCCTCCAGGGCCCGAGCCCCACGTGCAGCATGAAGTGGATTGATGCGGCCGTTAGGAGAGGCTGTGAGGCGCGTGACTGTGGGCTGAGACCGCATATCCAGTGCCACATGGCAGAACTAGGACCATGCCCCATGCCCCACCTACCCCGACCCCACCTGCAGCATGAAGTCGATGCGGCCATGCGGAGAGCCGGTGAGGCGCGTGAGTGTGTGCTGCGACCGCGCATCCAGCACTGGCATCTCACTGCTGTCGGGGGCTGATCACGGGGAGGAGACGGAGGACAGCAGGCCGACAAAAGGAAGGGGCAGCAGAAGGAGGAGGGCGGAATGGAAAGAGGAGCAGAGTGTGGTTGTGACTATGAGAGAAGCAGTCGGAGCATAGTAGAGTGACAGTAAGAGAGGGTTGGGCAGGTGATGGGTGAATGGGCATGTGGGGGTCATGGCATGTCATGGGAAGGGTGGGGCTCGGTGCATACGGGGGGAGGTTGGTGCGTTTGGGTGGAGGTGAGTGCATACCCGGCGCGGGTCGAGGAGGTGGAGTGGCGAAGCAGAGCAGACTCCATGTGGACCTCTGGCAGGGGTGGGGATGGGTTGAGGGGAGTGAGAAGGGAGCAACCAGGGAGGAGGCGAGAGGCAGGGAGAGGCGTGAGATGCATGCTGATGCTGATGCTGATGCTGATGCTGATGCTGATGCTGATGCTGATATGATTGATGCTGATGCTGATCCTGATGCTGATGCTGATGCTGATGCTGATATGATGCTGATGCTGATGCTGATGAAAGAAACTAGGAGCTATGGAAACTTGAGGAAGAATTGTTAACATTAGCTCAAGAGAGCACAAGGATATACAAGGAAGAGAAGGTTGGAGAAGAACACCAAACCTAGCACATAAGACACCAAGACCAAGTAGGCTAGTGGGAGGAAGGACCATCCAACCAACCCTAGTGGGATGGTGGCCAACCAACCAAAGTTGGTTGCCCCACTTGGCCAACAAGGTTGGAGCCAAGTCTAAGCTAGGATATTTGGGTTCACCCCAATTAGGGTGTCTACCCGCAGTACACCCAAAACTAGGACCTGAACCAACCCAACTGTACACCACTCTTGGTGTACAGTCACAAGTGTTCGCATGCTATAATATATAGATTCAAACAGCTGATGCTGATGCTGATATGATGCTGATGCTGATATGATGCTGATGCTGATATGATGCTGATGCTGATGCTGATGCTGATGCTGATGCTGATGATGATGCTGATGCTGATGTTGATGCTGATGCTGATGTGATGCTGATGCTGATGCTGATGCTGATGCTGATGCTGATGCTGATGCTGATGCTGATATGATGATGATGCTGATGCTGGTGCTGATGCTGATGCTGATATGATGCTGATGCTGATGCTGATATGATGCTGATGCTGATGCTGATGCTGATGCTGATATGATGCTGATGTGATGCTGATGTGATGCTGATGCTGATGCTGATATGATGCTGATGTGATGCTGATGCTGATGCTGATGCTGATGCTGATGGTGATGCTGATATGATGCTGATGCTGATGTTGATGCTGATGCTGATGCTGATGCTGATGCTGATGCTGATGCTGATGCTGAGATGATGCTAATGCTGATGCTGATGCTGATGCTGATGCTGATGCTGATATGATGCTGATGCTGATGCTAATGCTGATGCTGATGCTGATGCTGATGCTGATGCTGATGCTGATGCTGATGCTGATTTGATGCTGATGCTGATGCTGATGCTGATGCTGATTCTGATATGATGCTGATGCTGATGCTGATGCTGATATGATGCTGATGATGATGCTGAGATGATGCTGATGCTGATGCTGATGCTGATGCTGATGCTGATATGATGCTGATGCTGGTGCTGATGCTGTTATGATGTTGATGCTGATGCTGATGCTGATGCTGATGCTGATATGATGCTGATGTGATGCTGATGTGATGCTGATGCTGATGCTGATATGATGCTGATGTGATGCTGATGCTGATGCTGATGCTGATGGTGATGCTGATATGATGCTGATGCTGATGTTGATGCTGATGCTGATGCTGATGCTGATGCTGATGCTGATGCTGATGCTGATATGATGCTGATGCTGATGCTAATGCTGATGCTGATGCTGATGCTGATGCTGATGCTGATTTGATGCTGATGCTGATGCTGATGCTGATGCTGATGCTGATGCTGATTCTGATATGATGCTGATGCTGATGCTGATGCTGATGCTGATGCTGATATGATGCTGATGATGATGCTGAGATGATGCTGATGCTGATGCTGATGCTGATGCTGATGCTGATATGATGCTGATGCTGGTGCTGATGCTGTTATGATGTTGATGCTGATGCTGATATGATGCTGATGCTGATGCTGATGCTGATGCTGATGCTGATGCTGATATGATGCTGATGCTGATGCTGATGCTGATGCTAATGCTGATATGATGCTGATGCTGATGCTGATGCTGATGCTGATGCTGATATGATGCTGATGCTGATGCTGATATGATGCTGATGCTGATGCTGATGCTGATGCTGATGCTGATATGATGCTGATGCTGATGCTGATGCTGATGCTGATGCTGATGCTGATGCTGATGCTGATGCTGATACTGATGCTGATATGATGCTGATGCTGATGCTGATGCTGATGCTGATATGATGCTGATGCTGATGCTGATATGATGCTGATGCTGATGCTGATGCTTATATGATGCTGATGCTGATGCTGATGGTGATGCTGATATGATGCTGATGCTGATGCTGATATGATGCTGATGCTGATGCTGATGCTGATCCTGATGCTGATGCTGATGCTGATGCTGATGCTGATATGGTGCTGATGCCGATGCTGATGCTGATGCTGATATGATGCTGATGCTGATGCTGATGCTTATGCTGATATGATGCTGATGCTGATGCTGATGCTGATTTGATGCTGATGCTGATGCTGATGCTGATGCTGATGCTGATTCTGATATGATGCTGATGCTGATGCTGATGCTGATGCTGATGCTGATATGATGCTGATGATGATGCTGAGACGATGCTGATGCTGATGCTGATGCTGATGCTGATGCTGATGCTGATATGATGCTGATGCTGGTGCTGATGCTGTTATGATGTTGATGCTGATGCTGATATGAGGCTGATGCTGATGCTGATGCTGATGCTGATGCTGATATGATGCTGATGCTGATGCTGATGCTGATGCTGATATGATGCTGATGCTGATGCTGATATGATGCTGATGCTGATGCTGATGCTGATGCTGATGCTGATATGATGCTGATGCTGATGCTGATGCTGATGCTGATGCTGATGCTGATATGATGCTGATGCTGATGCTGATGCTGATGCTGATGCTGATACTGATGCTGATATGATGCTGATGCTGATGCTGATGCTGATGCTGATATGATGCTGATGCTGATGCTGATGCTGATGCTGATGCTGATGCTGATGCTGATATGATGCTGATGCTGATGCTGATATGATGCTGATGCTGATGCTGATGCTGATGCTGATGCTGATATGATGCTGATGCTGATGCTGATGCTGATGCTGATGCTGATGCTGATGCTGATATGATGCTGATGCTGATGCTGATGCTGATGCTGATGCTGATGCTGATGCTGATGCTGATACTGATGCTGATATGATGCTGATGCTGATGCTGATGCTGATGCTGATATGATGCTGATGCTGATGCTGATGCTGATGCTGATGCTGATATGATGTTGATGCTGATGCTGATGCTTATATGATGCTGATGCTGATGCTGATGGTGATGCTGATATGATGCTGATGCTGATGCTGATGCTGATGCTGATATGATGTTGATGCTGATGCTGATGCTTATATGATGCTGATGCTGATGCTGATGCTGATGCTGATATGATGCTGATGCTGATGCTGATGCTGATCCTGATGCTGATGCTGATGCTGATGCTGATATGGTGCTGATGCCGATGCTGATGCTGATGCTGATATGATGCTGATGCTGATGCTGATGCTTATGCTGATATGATGCTGATGCTGATGCTGATGCTGATTTGATGCTGATGCTGATGCTGATGCTGATGCTGATGCTGATGCTGATGCTGATATGATGCTGATGCTGATGCTGATGCTGATGCTGATATGATGCTGATGCTGATATGATGCTGATGCTGATGCTGATGCTGATGCTGATGCTGATGCTGATATGATGCTGATGCTGATGCTGATGCTGATGCTGATGCTGATGCTGATGCTGATATGATGCTGATGCTGATGCTGATGCTGATGCTGATGCTGATGCTGATACTGATGCTGATATGATGCTGATGCTGATGCTGATGCTGATGCTGATATGATGCTGATGCTGATGCTGATGCTGATGCTGATATGATGCTGATGCTGATGCTGATGCTTATATGATGCTGATGCTGATGCTGATGGTGATGCTGATATGATGCTGATGCTGATGCTGATATGATGCTGATGCTGATGCTGATGCTGATCCTGATGCTGATGCTGATGCTGATGCTGATATGGTGCTGATGCCGATGCTGATGCTGATGCTGATATGATGCTGATGCTGATGCTGATGCTTATGCTGATATGATGCTGATGCTGATGCTGATGCTGATTTGATGCTGATGCTGATGCTGATGCTGATGCTGATGCTGATGCTGATATGATGCTGATGCTGATGCTGATGCTGATGCTGATATGATGCTGATGCTGATGCTGATGCTGATACTGATGCTGATATGATGCTGATGCTGATGCTGATGCTGATGCTGATGCTGATATGATGCTGATGCTGATGCTGATGCTGATGCTGATGCTGATGCTGATATGATGCTGATGCTGATGCTGATGCTTATATGATGCTGATGCTGATGCTGATGGTGATGCTGATGGTGATGCTGATATGATGGTGATGCTGATGCTGATATGATGCTGATGCTGATGCTGATGCTGATATGATGCTGATGCTGATGCTGATGCTGATATGATGCTGATGCTGATGCTGATGCTTATATGATGCTGATGCTGATGCTGATGGTGATGCTGATATGATGCTGATGCTGATGCTGATATGATGCTGATGCTGATGCTGATGCTGATCCTGATGCTGATGCTGATGCTGATGCTGATGCTGATATGGTGCTGATGCCGATGCTGATGCTGATGCTGATATGATGCTGATGCTGATGCTGATGCT